CATAGTCAAAAGGATTTTACAAATCTCCACCAGTCCAGCTGCAAAAACATCATTAAAAAAATTGGATATGGATAAAATGAAAATTTTATATTAATATATTTGTTGAAGAAGATAAATCCATTGGACCACCCATGGTTTCATTTCAGTTTGAATATAGCTTTCAAGATTCTTCCTGTAGCCAATTTCACATTCAAAGGTTGCTTCCATTTTTAAAATATAGCAACCAAATGACGTGGGAAAACTTGTAAATACAGCAACAAATCATAAAACGTCACGTGGCAATCATGTTCATGTCTATAAAAACCAAACCGGCTCTTTGTTCTTTAGCTGCTTAAGTGCTTTATAGCAAATAAACACAAATGGAAGGTCTAATTCCGTTAGTTTATAGAGCCGTCATGCAAATCCGTTACGGCGACGACTCGACCCAACTTTCTTCTTCTTACTATGTTCGTCTTCCAGGCGACTCGGGTCGGTTTGGAAGATCCGAATTCGATGTATCGGGTCTAGGATCTTCTTCCAAACCGGCGTCGAATACCACCACCACCACGTTTGCTGTTTCCACTAGAGTCCAGTCACCAGTTTCTCGTCACGTGATTAACACGCGCTCCTGAAAGAACCTGAAGATGCGCGTGAAGGAAAGGGGTTCGTGACTTCTGTGATTACTAGGCTTAGTCAGGTTTGCACTTGGACCGGTCGAATAAACCTGATTGATGTAATATTAATCGGGATGGGAGGTTGATTCTCTAAGCGTGAGTTCTAAACCCAAAAGGGGTAGTCTCGTGGCTTTTGTGTATTTCTTTTTAATTGTATATAAATGCTACATATGAATATTTAAATTATTCGTTAGCAATTGTGTGAAAATTTTAGCTGAAAGTATTGTTAAATTTCGTCTTTTCTAAATAAATTGAAATTGTAGAACGTGGACTAAACTATTTTATTTAGTGAATGAGGTAGATGACTGTGATTAAATAAAAAAGATCAGATACATGACATGAAATGAATATTTATTTAGATAATTGAGAATTGTTAGTCCTCTATATATTAAATAAGAAATATTTTGAAACAAATTTGCGTAGATATAAAATCCACAATTTTTCTCTGCTTTTTTATTAATAAATTTAGCTAAAAATTAAATGCTTTTATACCATTGTCCAAATATCTTCTAAAAAAATACTTAATACTAACTTGGATACACTAATACCAATTGCCAAACACATTAGAATGCTTATAAATTTGCCAAAAAAAATTATCAAAGATTG